CGCACAAAAAACGGCACCGCCTTACATGGAGACTGCCAACTTCTTCACAGTGCTAGACTCGAGTCGACCACATCGCCATCAGCCGCCGCTGGCGTGGATCCATTGAGGACCGCCGCTCCTACTGGTCAATACACGTGGACAAGGACCATGCCCTGCTACGAGCGAGATTCTCCCTAAGCCTGATAAACAGCCGCAGAAAAGCCACCGAAAACGGACGCCCACAATACAGTATCAGCGACAGTTGCAAATCGGCCTTCGAAGCGGGACTATCAGATTGCCTCTCAGTTCAACCATCAGCAGGAGGATTCAGTGAACACTGAATGACAATCAAGGAAGCGATCCAAACGTCGATCAAGACAACGGTAAATTCTGGCGCACAATCAAATAAAAAACGATGGATCTCCCCGAACTCGGTTGCCCAACTGGACGCTCACAAAGTCATTCCTTCGGATTCAAAATAAGACAGAACGCGCAAATCCGTTGAACGCCAGGTCACCAAGGGGCTGGGGGATGATCGCGAGAAGTGGTGGGTATCTGAGTGCCTAGAGATGGAGAAGTCTGCGGATATTGGTAATAGTCGCAACCTTTTTCGTTTATTAAAGAGTACGGGCGCAGTTCAATTGGTCTCCGTCGACACAAGACCTCCACCTACCCGCTTCAACTGTGCAAATAGTGTCAGTTGACACCAGTCCTCCATCTGAAGTGGAGGTTACTCGGGAAATAAGTTATCTCAAAAGACATAAGGCTTCCGGCCCCGACGGACTGTCCCATCGGCTTTTAAGAATGGATGTTCAGCCTTGGTTTTGGAGTTTATAAATCTCCTGGGCTCAGTGTGGGAGAGGGAAGAGGTCCCAGCTGAAAATGTGAATCGGTAATCATACCGATTTACAAGAAAGGTGACAGATCCTCCTGTGAAACCACAGAGGAATTAGTTTAATCAACATTGCATCTAAACTTCTCGCCGGCATCATATTCCGACGATTGTCTGCCGCACGTGAACGGTGTACGCGTGAGAACCAGGCTGGTTTCAGACATGGTCGAGGTTGTACCGACCACATCTTCACTTTTCGCCAAACTCTGGAACACAGACACTCTTTTCGCAGACTCACCATGTCTATCTTCCTCGATCTGAGTGTAAAATGTTGCTCCAAGATTGCGCTGGTCCAGCACCCAGTCTCACCCTGACTGGGGAAGTAGTAGAGGAAGTAGACAACTTTTGTTATCTGGGCAGCTATATCTCACCTGGCGGACGCATCACAGATGAACTGTCGGCGCGTATACAAAAGGCTCGGTTGGCATTTGTCAACTTGAAACGTTTGTGGCGACGTCCGGCTGTCTGTGAGGGTCGAGTATATGCTGCAGGAGTTCGGCCAGTACTGCTCTACGGTGCAGAGAATTGGCCACTACGGGAACAGGATAAAAATAGATTATCATTGTTCGAACACCGCTGTCCACGTCACATTGCACGAGTCTGGTGGGGTAACCGGACTAGCAATGATAAAGCTAGGCGTAGAGTTTCCGGCATTCGAGGTCGTCCACTGGAGCAAGTAATCGACCCTCACAGATTACGTTGGTTGGGGCATCTATTACGCATGTCACCAGATAGGTTGCCACGGCGAGCGATGTTCGCCGACGCAAGCAGTGGGTGGAAGAAAGTCAAGGGTGGCCAAACTTAGACCTGGCACGAAGGAATGAAAACCCTGACCAGGAATCTGGGTCACATAGGTTCCGTTAAGCTCCCCGGCTGGGGACCTCGGGATGATCGTACCCGATGGTTAGAGACACTGAGTGATATGGCTAGGTGTCGTAAACAGTGGTGTTCTTCTCAATTTCTTTGCTGACTTAGACCACTGAACTTGTCCATTTTCTGTTCAACTCTACCTTCAAATTTCCTGTCTTCTATTATCTATCCAAATGGGCAGCCCAAAGGCAGCAACCAAAACCGGCGCACGAATGTGCATGGTTAATGGTTGTTCAAAGTTACCTGAACTAAAGCGAGGATAGGGAGAAAGCTTATTTTTATGGACTAGAGAAGAAATCAAATCTCTATGGCCAACACAGAACACAGTTCAACCGTGCATGCACACTATTTCAAGCATCCTGGACTGATATGAAGTTACAGCAAGATCGTTACTGCTGTCGGTTCGTCTCTATGACCTTGCGTGTCTTCAACCATCTGGTTATAGTCTTTTTGAAGATGAGAGACCTACTCTACCTAATCGCTGTGTGCATTTTCTCATGGCTTGTCTCCAAGTCATCTGCTGCTTTCCATCCTGCATGGGCCATTGTAAATGAGGCGACCGCTAGACATAAGCAAAACGTGTCCTGACCAACGGAACTCGGATGTTGTTTTTCCATGGTTGCTGAGAAAATGCACTAGGTTACTGCGAAAGTACGGTAGGACTTTGTGCAAGCACAAATAGGTTTGTCGTGGAATAAGTCAAGATCCATTTGCCAAGATCATAGTGAATGGGGTAAATGGGGTTTGCCAATTTCCGCCGAGAGAATTTTTGGTGTGTCAGTGTGTTTAGGAACAAGAAACACGATAAATTGTTCACAGGACTATCAGCAAAGCTCTTTAGGATTTCGAGGGACCTGGAGTTAATTCAGAATTCCCTAGTAAGTAGGGGTATCCGAGGTACCCGGTAGGAGCAGCACCTCACTTGGGGGGCTGTCGGCCCTTTTGGGGCATCCCTCGTTCTTTGGTCTCCACCACGCGCTACGCTCTCACCTGTGACTGCAGGAAGCTGCTTGGATGCAATAACGACCACACCCCGGTAAACCGCTCGACAGGCGGGTCAAACCAGGTTGAGGGTAATTGGCAGCTCAACCCACGGCGAGTCGGTGTCTAACATACGTGTTGGGCGGACGAAGTCGCTTTCGCGACTCAACGTCAGAGGTAATGACTCCGTACTAATCAGGGATGGATTGATCCCTGTTCACCTAGAAACTGTCAATGGTGCATGAGCTCCCTGTAGAGAGCCACTGGCAACGATGCGTTACCTTCCTGCTGCCTTGCGGTTAGCACTTGGATGTACAAAGTCTAGAAATGCCACCTCAACCCAAAGGTGGGGACTCTCCAGGAATTTCCTGGATATTCACTTGATATCCATGAAGCCGGCTCATCCTCTCCCAGGAGCCAGCCGTCCTAAAGTAAAAAAAGTAAGTAGGTCGGGAAAATGTTACTAGCGATCTGTGAAGTCAATGAGGTATCATTCACGCAAAAGCAAAACGTTCAATATGACTAAAAGAGGTAAAGAGTAATCTGAAGCAAAAACATAAAATGATTGCCTTCCGACTTGTGTACTCTGCGGTGATGTGATATGGTCACGCAAGGTTGCGGTTAAACCGTACACGAGGATGTTTACCAGTGGATGGTCTCGCTATGGGTACGTTGTGGATTATAAGATTGGGTTGAGGCGCAGCCAGTTTATCTTATAGGTAGCCTTTAATATGACAGAATGAAATAGAATTCGATTCCCGTTATCCGAATGTTTGTCTTTGAATTCTACAATTCGCTTCCAAATCTCCAGGTGAAGCTTCATTGTAAGTCTTCCGGACAAATCTCCTGAGGTCATGATAAACAAGCACAGTAATAGAAAAGTCTTAATGAGTGGAACCGTTTGGAGTCTACACCTTTCCCGATGGAGACGATAAGTATCCTTCTCCCTGGGAATACGACCATTCAATTCCTGTATCTGTCTATCTATGTTTCCACTGACACTGTGTACTGTTGTATTGTCCAATCACACTATAGCAAATTATTTTGCTCTTGTTTTTCACATTATTCTTTTGGATTCCCCCCTCTCGCCCCACTAAACACAGGAGGTTCAAACAGAACAATATTTTTATGCACTGTCGGATCCCAAGCGTGAGGATGTGCCGACACGTAAACGGCGCATAAAGCGCGATACTGACGAATATGTACCAGGTGAACAGTCTGAAAGTGATTATGATCCAGCCGCCGTTTCACGACAAAAGCGTCGCATGAAAAATTTGGAAGAAAAATTAGAAAGTGAGCGCTTGATTCTAATTTTTAAGCACTACTGTGCTATGCATAGCTATTAAAATTTTCACCATTTTATTCTCGTGTGATTTTTACTGGACTGGGTGGCGACAACATTTGTGTTACCCTGTGGTTTTTATTGTTCGATCCCTGTGGAGGATTGACTCGCTATACGGGTTGTTCACCTGTTACCATAATGGTTATGTCTCTGCACCGTATAACTGCACTGCCCGGGTGGTCTGATGTCGCGACTGCTCTACAGATGTCTCAAGCTGGCAAACGCTCATCGT